TTTAAACTGGGGAGAAAGTTTAAAGTTTTGGAGAAAGTTTATAAAGTTTGGGGAGGAAATTTAAAGTTTTTGGGAAAAGTTTATAAAGTTTGGGAAGGAAGTTGAGAGTTTCGGGGCAAAGCGTATGAAGTTTGGTGCGAGAGTTTAAAGTTTCGGGTCCGGAGGCGCCGGGGCGGGGGGGGCGGGGGGCATCCCCGCCGCCCTTCCCCGCGCCCCCTGCCGGCCCGGCCTCTCCGGCGTCTCCTGGCGGCGCTCCCAGATTCCTGCCCCCGGCCGGAGATTGGCTGCGCCAGGCGGGCCGGAGAGAGCGAGAAGCCGCCGCCGCCGCCGCCGCCGCCTCCCTCCTTGCCAGCCTCCGGCCGGGGCGGCGCGGGATGCCAAGATGCCCCCGGCGGGCGCGGCCGTGCTGGGGCTGCTGCTGCTGCTGCTGCTGCTGCTGCAGCTGGCGGTGCCGCGGGCGCTGGGCTGGCCGGGCCGGGGGTCTTCTTCTTCTTCTGCCGCCGCCTCCGCCTCCGCCGCCGCCTCGGGCCCCTTGGAGCGGGCGGCGCTGGCGCGGGAGCGGTTCAAGGTGGTCTTCGCGCCGCTCATCTGCGAGCGGACCTGCCAGAAGGGCCGCTGCCGGGACAGCTGCAAGCCGGGCAGTAACATGACGCTGATCGGGGAGAACGGACACGCCATGGACACGTTGACCGGCTCCGGGTTCCGCGTGGGTGAGTGGCGGAGACCCTCGGCGACCGCCCTCGCCCTCCACCCGGGGCCCGCTGGCCGTGGGCGGGGAGCGGGGAGGCTCCCACCGGCCACGGGGTGGACTTTCGTGCCCATCGTTTGCTTTGGGGGCGGGAGGGGGGAGTGAGGACTACAATGCCCATCCGCCTCCCCCATCCCCCCCCCCGCGACGGGGTGGACTTTCGTGCCCATAGTTTGCCTTTGGAGGGGGGGGCGGGAGTGAGGACTACAACACCCATCTGCCCCCCCCGTTACAGGTTGAAGTTTCGTGCCCATCGTTTGCTTTTTTGGGGGGTGGGAGTGAGGACTACAATGCCCATCTGCCTCCCCGTGACAGGGTGAAGTTTCATGCCCATCGTTTGCTTTTGGGGTGTGTGTGGAGAGAGGACTACAATGCCCATCCGCCTCCCCCATCCCACCCCTGGCGAAGGGGTGGAAATTGGTGCCCATCATTTGCTTTTGGGGGGTGTGTGGAGTGAGGACTACAATGCCTATCTGCCTCCCCCATCCCACCCACCCCGCGACGGGGTGGACTTTCATGCGCATCGTTTGTCTTTGGGGGGGGGAAGTGAGGACTACAACCCCCATCCGCCTCCCCCAGCCCGGCTCCTTGCAACCTCAGGGCCAGGGATGATGGGAGACGGCTCGGCTGCCCCTCATTCTTTCCTCTTGAGGAGTCTTCTCAGATGGCACGGACTACACCGCCCATCGCTCCCAACCTTGGTTACACCACCCCTAACCACCCCCAAGCTTGGGTCTCTGCAATCTTCTTGTTGATGGGATGTATTATACTCCTGGTGCACGGACTACACCACCCATCAGCTCTCCTCTAGCCCGGGTCCCTGCTATGTGCTCTTCTGTCCAATGGTTTCCACTTGAGAAGTCTCTTAAACGGTAGGGACTACACCACCCATCAGCCACCAGTTTGTCTCTTGTGGATGGGACCTGTTGTACTGCCTGATGCTTTCCACTTTGCCGAGTTCCTTAGATGGCATGGACTACACTATCCATCAGCCTCTCCAGGCTGGTTCCCTGCAACCTCTTTGTTGATGGAACGTATTCTACCACCCAGTGCATGTCCCTCTATTGGTACGCACTACACCACCCATCAGGCCCAGCTTGGCTGTTTGCAAACCGGTCTGCAGGAGGAGTTCCCCTGCCCATTGCTTTCCACCTTGGCAAGTCCTTTATATGGTGTGGACTACGCTGCCCATCGCCCCCTCCCGATCCCCTCTGGGGTATCTTCCAGATGGACAAAGCTCCCAGCTCCCATCAGGCACTCTCCAGCTCTTTTTGGTGACAGTTCCCATCATGCACACCCTCTGAGCCATCAGCCTGTGCCCGGCCCCGTTTTGTGCATCGCTTCTCCCCCTTATCTTAAACTTGGGAGTTGTAGTCCCACTTCAGGAGGGCGCCTGGTTGGGGAAGGCCGTTCTCCCAGGCGCTTTGGATTGTGGGTAAGAGCCAACAAGCCAAAGAGAAACTCACTTGTAGCAATTAACTTAGGTTTGTTTACGTTGCCTCCTGTTACTGGAAAAGGACCGATTTTGGATTTATTTCCTGGGGAAACAGTGAACGAGAAGGCCCCGAGGGATCTGAGTTTGTGTGGCATGCTGAACTGGCGTGGTTTTAACCTGGGTTAATTCTTGGTTTGCTTCGCGTGGGACTTAGCATCCTTCAAAGACGGAATTGGAAGAAATATTAAGAGATCATCTAGTCCGACCTGCTGCCCAGGGCCAGGAACCTATTTCGCTGGCATGCCTGTTAGTTCATGTTTCTCAACCTTGCCAACTTGAAGATGTGTGGACTTCGACTCCTAGAATTCCCCAGCCAGCTTTGATCAGGATTGAACGCAAAGTTTTGCTGGCTGGGGAATTCTGGGAGTTGAAGTCCACATACTTCGAGCTGCCATGGTCGAGAAACACTGCTGTAGAATATCCTCTTCCTCTTTATAACGGCTGTCAATTGTGCCTGCTTTCTCTTTAGGCTAATTGCAAACCTAAAAACCAGCATCTTTCAGCAACCAGGTTGAACGTGTTGTGGGAACCCGGCTCCCTTCCCCACCGAACCTCCTGGCCTCAGACATCCTGGCCCCTTTTGCACTTGGTTCAGTTTTCTCTGATCCTGTTCGCCAAACTCAGCCTTGCGGTTTGCAGAACAGCTTTGTTTGGGGTTTTGGGGGGGGCAAACCCCACTGGTTATCCTTTGTGGCTAAACGAAACAGGGGGTCAGGGTAATGTGGGAGCCCAGGCTTGACTTGCGCAGGCCGAATCTGGCTCGCCTTGTCCTTTGCAAAGCAAGCTTGGTTTTGCACGGGGATTGGTTAGCGTGGAGTTTTGCTTTTCTGTTGTATTTGGGGGCCGGACGGAGTGCAGTCGGGGACACTTTGCACATTGTTTTTGATTCCTATGCGCATGTGCACCCTGGTTCCATGTTCTCTCTCTCTCTCTTTCCTCTCTCTCCCACTCTTTGTCTGTCTCTCTGTCTCTGTCTATCTCTTTCTCTCTCTCTCTCTCTGGGTCTCTCTCTCTCTCTCTCTTTTTCTCTTTCTCTCTGTCTCTCTCTCTCTCTCTTTCTAGGTCTCTCTCACTCTCGTTCTCTCTTTTTCTCTTTTTCTCTTTCTCTCTGCCCCCCCCCCCTCTCTCTGTGTCTCTCTAGATCTCTTTTTATTTCTTTCTCTCTCTGTCTCGGACGCTGTCTCTTTCTCTCTCTTTTCCTCTTTGTCTCTGTCTCTCTCCTTCTCTGTCTCTTTCTCTTTTTCTATCCCTCTCTTTTTCTCTCTTTCTTTTTCTCTTTCTTTGTCTCTTTCTCTCTCTCTCTCTTCTCTCTTTCTACCTCTCTCTCCCTTTCTTTCTCCACCCTTCCCTGTCTATTCTCTTCTCTTTCGCTGCTGGAAAAGTTGACTTCACATCTCAGCCCCATCTCTGGGGCCCCTCGAGCGTCCAAGCCGCTCGGAGCTGCTGGCCAAGCAAACTCACACAGAATCGGAGACCAACGCTTACACGCACACACACACACACATGCACGCACACAACCTCCCACCCAGCCAGTTTGTGCAAGAGCCAGCTTGATTCAGAAGGGGCTTCATTTCAGTCACAAAGCCAAGTTCAAACTAGAATCAGCCAGTTGCAGCAAGTGGTTTTTATTTTATTTTATTCATTTGCACACCCTTCTTTGCACACTTGGCTGTTCTCACACGCTCAAGAGAGTGGAAGATCTAACAATCTCTTGAGCCGGCTAGGGTTAAACTGCGATGAGGTTCTTGGAGGCTTAATCTGCTGTGTGAATCCAGCTTATTTCGTTAGTTCAGGGGTCCCCAAACTTGGCAACTTTGTGGACTTCAACTCCCAGAATTCCTCAGCCAGCTATGCTGGCTGAGGAATTCTGGGAGTTGAAGTCCACAAGTCTTAAAGTTGTCAAGTTTGGAAACCTCTGGGTTAGTTTATGGTTCAGATATACTGTGCAAATGTAAAACATGGATTAATAGGGGAGGAAAATTCCCGATTTGTCTTGGTATCTCTGGATAAAATAATGCTTATTAAGGAAAGCTATTTTTCTGCCTTACAGCATGCTGGGAGTCGAAGTTTATACAACTTTAAAAGTTGCCAATTGATTTCAAATAGTAGAGGAATAAAATGTAGAAATATAAAGCGCAACATAAAGCAATTATATTTCTAAATTAATGAACACAGTCAACTGCAAATTGCTTTCAAAATGAAAAGATAAGAGTCCAATTTATAGTGCCTTTTAAATATAAAATTAGTCCTGCACTCAACTAGAATTTCAGTTACTAAGCAAGGCAGATGTTAAGGCTTCCTTTGGGCCTCAGTTGTTCTGTGAATCAGGCAGTCATTAAGCAAATCCAGCTTCCTCTATTGCTTGTCGGAAACCGGCTATGAAATCACACCCCAAGACGATCGCATAACCTTGGGATGCTCAACAGGCATAAAGACATGCCAGTTGCTAAGCACCCGAATTTTGATCACATGATGAGGGTGAGGACCGGTCATAAGTCACATTTTGCAGTGCAATTGTAACTTGGAACGGTCACTCAAAGATGGATTGTAAGTCGAGGACTTACCTGTATTATTAAAATGGCTTTGGCAACGAAGTAATTTTAATAATACATTAAATACATTATTAATCACGAAAATAAGACCGGAGTAAGAATCGATGGAGAGTAAGATGTAATATATGCTAATAAACTTCTGAATAAATAGATAGCTGCCTTTGAATTTATTGCCAGACAAAAAATATCTAGGAAGTACAGTGAGGTCCTCAACTTATGACCACCATTCAACCCCAAATGTCTGTTGCTAATTATTGCTAGACAGAGGTTAAGTGATTTTTGCCCCATTTTACGACTTCTCTTGCCACCATTTTAAAGTGAATCACTGCTGTTGTTAAGTGAGTCGTACGGTTGTTAAGTGAATCGTGCTTCCCTGTTGACTTTGCTCGTCAGAAGGTCGCAAAAGGCGATCACATGACGCCGGGAACGCTGCAACCGCCATAAATATGAGTGACTTGCTGAATTTTGATCACGTGACCAGTGATTCTTGAGTGGTGGGGTGACCTAAAGGTGGAGCGCTTGCCTCACCATCAGGAGGCTGTGAGTTTGATCCTTGGTAGAGGCAGATATTTCTCTCTCTGGGCACAATGAGAATATATACACCTGCTGAACAAAACTCCTCATCGGCAACAGGAGAGGCATCCGGCCGTTAAACATTCCACTCCATTCAGTTGTCCAGACTCCACCGCTCAAAGGATTACAGGGTCATTAAAAGAGGATGATGATGATGACCAGGGACTCTGTGACCCTGGCAAGTGTGAAAACTAATTGTAAGCCGCTTTTTTCAGTGCTGTTGGACCTTTGAACAGTCATTAAATGAATGGTGGTAAGTCGAGATGCGTTGGACAAAACTACGGAAAGGCGTTTGGCTGCCGTCATCGAAGCGGAAAGCCGTGTTAATGGTAGCAATTGAAGGCCCAGGGTTAGAAAACGGAAGGCTGCGCGTTCGAGTCCTGCCACCTGTATCAAACCAGCTGGGCAACGCTAAGCCAACATTCACTCACTCCCAGGTCTAGGAAAGTAGCCAGGGCAAACCGCTTCCCAAAAACGTGGCCAAGAGCTCTGCTGGGACGTGGCCAGGCCACCGCTGGCAGTCAACCCCTGACTCGAAGGGACCCAAACAGACTGAACGTGTTTGAAGCCGCTGCTTGTTTCTCTTCCTGTGCAAAGTGTGTTTGTTGTGTTGGCTATTTCAGGAAAAGCAGTGGAAAATTTGACGGCAGCCCACGCTCGGCCTTCTGGCCTGGTGGAGCGCAAATCTTTTCCAGAAGACACAAGTTGACACCTGCAGTCGCGCCTCTGTTTTGGAAAGAGGCAAGGGTTGTGCGTCCAATTTCTGATTCATGCCTCGGATTGACAAAAAACACACACACAAATGCATATCACGGTCTGAACCCCTTTGTAACTGCCGATTCAGTCTTTGAAAGTAGAATTGAAATAGAATAGAATAGAATAGAATAGAATAGAATAGAATAGAATAGAA